AAATTTAAAATTTATTTTATTACAAGGGTTAAATCATGATTTTTTTATCTAATATTTTCAAAATTTAAAGACAAAATACTAAAAGGACAGTAATATTATAAACTCAAACTTAACTCTCTAGAAATTATCTTGAATTGTTTATATTTATTCTACACATCGATCCTACACTAAATAAATTCAATCTCAATTACACAATTCTCACTTGGGACTCACTCATCACTTTCTCTCTCGAATATTATCACATAGTTTTGCTCCATATTCTCATGATATGTATTTGTAATTCTATTAATTTTATATCTATTTTTTTCTTTTATATATTAAATAAAACAATCGCTAAAATTAAAAAAATATGCGACTTTAATTGAAGTTTTTAGAAGACCGAATAATTCCTCTTAATTTCTCTCTCTTTATATGTATCACTATCAATTTTCTCTCTCCAAAAAAAACAAAAACAAAACAAGTAATAAGTCGTCTCCTCCTTTTTTACTTCATCAACAAACATTATAAAAACAAAACCAGTCCCACCCCTCTCTCTCTCTCTCTGTCTCTCTCTACATTTTCCCTCTCTACCAGTAAATCATTTCTCTCTCTCTCTCTCTCTGATGCTGAGCTTTTGAATCAAATGTGATGGGAAGTGGGTTCTCGCAACTCTTCCCTTGCTTCAATCCGGCGGCGAACCGGGCCGACTCCAACAACCGGGACCTGATCTTCACCTCCTCCGAACCGCTCGACGAAACCCTAGGTCACTCCTTCTGCTACGTCCGCTCCTCCGCTCGCTTCCTCTCTCCTACTCCCTCCGATCGTTTTCTCTCTCCGACTCACTCCCTCCGCTTCTCTCCCTCTCACGAACCGGTCCCGGGTAAGTCCAGACCGCCCGGTTTACCCGAACCCGTCTTCAAAGCCATCTCCGGCGCCTCGGTGAGCGCGAACACTTCGACTCCCCGAACAGTCCTTCAACTCGACAATATTTACGACGATGCCACTGACTCTGTTGGTGGTGGTGTGAAGTCCAGTATTGTGAATGGGTTCGATTGCACGTCGTCGTTTAGTGCTTTGCCGCTCCAACCGATTCCTCGCGGCGGCGAACCGTCCGGTCCGATGGAGAGGGCGTTCTTCATGTCCGGTCCGATCGAGCGTGGCGCCCTCTCCGGACCGCTCGAACCGTCGGCCGGCGGTTCGGACGGCGGCGGTGTGCCCTTCTCGGCGCCGCTCGGTGGCGTTTACGTAAAAAAGAGGAGGAAGAAGGGTATAACGGGAATTCGAAAGGCCTTTTCGAGGAATTTTTCGGAGAAGAAGAGGCCGTGGGTTGTGCCGGTGAGGAACTTCGTCGGCCGGAAAGAGGTCGCCGGAGAGGGAGGTGAGTCGGAGACGAAGAGGGAGAGTAATGTTCAGTGGGCTTTAGGGAAGGCAGGTGAGGATCGGGTACATGTGGTTGTATCGGAAGAACATGGGTGGTTGTTTGTTGGGATTTATGATGGGTTTAACGGCCCTGATGCTCCTGAATTCTTGATGGGTAATCTGTATAAAGCTCTGTACAAAGAACTAGAAGGTCTGTTTTGGGATTCTGAGGAAGCTTGTCCACAAGAGAGTACAATTACAATCCCATTAACAGGTAGTAGTGGTGGAGAGATTTTGAATTGTGGGGAAGTTGAAATTTGTGGAAATGAATCTGATTTATCTCAATCGGATCGAGGATCAGTAAAGAAAGTAACATTTCAATCTGAAATTGAGGTTAGACGGAGACGATTATGGGAATTTCTTGCCGAAGATGACCCGGAAGACGGACTTGATCTATCTGGTTCGGATAGATTTGCATTTTCGGTGGACGATGCGCTTAGCGTGAGCAATGCTGGCTCGGCTGTGAGTAGACGGTCACTGTTGTTAACAAAATTGAAACATGGGTTGATTAAGCATCACAAGGACAGTAAGAAGTTGTTTCCATGGAGATTTGGGCTGGAGGCCAAAGAGAAAACTGAAGCTGAGAATAGAGTTGAGGAGGAGGAGGAGGAGAGAACTAGCAAAAGTGGTAGGAAGCGAAAAATTGGTCCTATTGATCATGAATTGGTTTTGAGCGCAATGTCACGGGCTCTTGATGTGACTGAGCTTGCGTATTTGGATATGACAGATAAGGTTCTTGATCAGAATCCAGAGCTTGCCTTGATGGGTTCGTGTTTATTGGCTGTGCTGATGAGAGATGAGGATGTGTATGTGATGAATGTTGGAGATAGTAGGGCTATTGTGGCACAATTGGAGCCTGAAGAAATTAGTACTAGCACGGGGTCGAAGGGCCTTGTTAATAATGGGTCAAATGCGGAGGACATAGTTGAGGAGTCCACAGACGATGGTGAGAGGGTGAATAATGTGGCAAATGAAGCTCCTAATCAAGTTATGAGGTTAACTGCATTGCAGTTGTCTACTGATCACAGCACAAGCATTGAAGAAGTAAGTGTTGTTCTAATTGTGAGCGCAATTGGAGTACATTTAGCCTGATACATACAAAGACAAGGAATCGGTTGAAGTATAAAAAATTAAATAAACTTGTTTATGTGTATTACAATATGAGGCTAAAGATTAGACATGCAACGCGAAAAAGCCAAGATGACAGAGATGAATCTTTTAACCCTATCAATCTTGATTATATATTTGAAGAAGATGATCTATTAACTCCATGGCTTCAAGAGAGAGAACATGCAGTTTTGGATGATGAAGATAACTCAAGTTGGTTGATTGTTGATGATGATGATGATGAGGGAGATCATGCAACTAGTAGCCAAGTACCTCAACACCATCAAAGAGCAGGGTCTGCTGGAAGTGGCTCTAGTGAGGGTCGCGGTTTGAGTCCACCTAGTGGTAGTGGAAATGATAGTGATGACAGTCGTCCTCCAACAGGTGGTGGTAGTGGTGGACAATGGGGGTCTGCAGGTTCTGCACATGGTTATAGACGCAGTATTCATCATATTGATCATGATTGGAACAGAGATTCTACACAGCAACAACGACATTCTATTTCTACTCCTGATGTAGAAGCATCAATTGGGCGTTCACGACATATTGATGATATTTATGGTTATCGTGAATTTAGAAATCAATTTGGACATCTCAAAGTTAGACAAGAAGATGGAAAGGGAACTCAACATTGGCGACCAATATGCCAAGTACCATATCCTTATTACCCTCTTCCAAGTCAACCACCACCACACATCTATCAACCACCTTATATGAGAAATTGGAACTACTCTCAACAACCTTATCAATATCCATATATAGAGGGTTTCAATTATGGTACATGGGGGCTTGCAATGACACGACAACAATCAAGTAGTAGTGGCAACAACAACACCACTTATGATCAATGCACTTTCAATAACTACTACCAGGAATATCAATATGAAGAAATAGGCCAACCAATTCATAGTGATGATCAAAGTGATGTGAGATATGGAGATTCTTCTGTACCACCACATAATTCTTTTTGTTACTAAGTTTTAAAGTTGTTGATTTGTAGTAAATTGTTTGTATGCGATTATGACTGAAGCGAATGATTTATTTTCATGTTCCTCTTTCTCTTATTAATTTGTTGTGCATGTGGAAGTATTTCATTGTTGAAAATAAGTAAAAAAATATTTCCACATCAATTTTATATTAAAAGTTTAACATATATGCCAAATAAAAGTTTGAAACTAAAATAAATACATATCATTTAATTGAAAATGAGTCAAAAGTGCCTCTACATATCAAAATTTTGATTAAAATGTGATAAATTAAGGCTAAAAGAGTCAAAAAAAAATGCATAAAATTGAGTTTTAAAGAGATTGCTAATGATTTTTGAAATTTCACAGCCGCGACGCCCGATACCCGATACGTACTAGTCGATACTACTGATACTGATACTCTGCGATCGTTTTATATTAAAAGTTTAACATATATGCCAAATAAAAGTTTGAAACTAAAATAAATACATATCATTTAATTGAAAATGAGTCAAAAGTGCCTCTATATATCAAAATTTTGATTAAAATGTGATAAATTAAGGCTAAAAGAGTCAAAAAAAAATGCATAAAAATTTTGATTAAAATGTGATAAATTAAGGCTAAAAGAGTCAAAAAAAAATGCATAAAATTGAGTTTTAAAGAGATTGTTAATGATTTTTGAAATTTCACAGCCGCGACGCCCGATACCCGATACGTACTAGTCGATACTACTGATACTGATACTCTGCGATCGATATCATTACGTTACCCAATACCGCGATTTAGAACTATGCTCACAACCTTATCATTGATATCATCATTGCTTCAAAACCATCTCCAACTATTTTTTTTTCCTGCTCAGCCTTCAACATTCTTATCAGTCCCATATTATGGGGAAATCTTCACATTTCACAGAATTAATGTGAAATAGAAAACAAGTTTTTTTGACTCATGCTCTATCATTCAATTCAATAGGGTGCGATCAAATTCTCCTCATTCATAAATAAATCAAACACGTTTAAGTATTTTAATTATGGTGGTACACATAATTTATTATCTCTATAGTATGATAAATTATCAACCACTAGTTCATCTAAAAATTTAACGATTACTTAGCCCAAAAAAAAAAAAATTTAACGATTAGAGAGAGGGACAACAAGCTCATTATTTATATTCTCGTTCCAATCCTCAATAGGGATAAACAAGAATCTGTACCTTTCATGTTGTTAATGAACTCCTTGGAAAGTACTCCTAGCTCCTTAAATCCCAATTAAGCAACTATTTTGATAATGCATAGTGAATAATTTATTTACATATATGCATTGACTTTTGCTTGTTTGAACTTAAATACTTCTTTTACCTGTACATGAATTACATATTATTATTATTATTATTATTATTATTATTATTATTTATTTATTTATTTATTTTTGTGTGAAATGTACATGAATTAAATTACTAAATCACATACAATTATTCTATATGAGGGTATGAGATCTATAACAAAAGTAAGACTCATCTCATTTGAGAGGATTATATTTGATTTTGTAATCGATTTTTTATGTTTCTAAACTTTTTTCAAGCTTCATAGCCATAATTAATAACGATTCCATCATTAAATAGCTAACAAGTATTATGTCACCTTAAGGGGTCATTGGAAATTTATCTTATCACTAATTTTAGGATTTTAAAATTAAGATGTGTGTAAATTAATCCGAACACCCAATTAAAAAAAGCATATATATATATATATATATATTAAAGCAGGTCCTAAATTTGTTCCCATATCCTTCAATTTCAGTGAAGGCTCATAATTTCTATACATGCAAAGGGCTGAAGTAAAGCATGACACACATTTCTCCATTTCTGATCAAACTTGATGCATTGGCATAATATCATGCAAGCACACAATCAACATTTTATAAGTCAACATATTGTGAGTAATGATATATAAATAAAAAAATTAGAAAAAATCGTGTACTTTGTTTATTATGTCATTTCGGTTTCGGCAATTTCAATTGACTAGATTCTGATTTTGAATTTTTGAATTTTATATCAATTTAGTTCAATCGATAACGTTAATTAGGTTTTTTGACATAAAAAGCTCAAGTGAGCAATATAAGACCATTGTAAAAATGGACATTTCACGCCACTCCTCTCCTCCTTCCTTCTCCCACATGCACTTTTTCTATCAAAAATCCTAAGTGACGTTATCCATTGGATCAGAATGAGATAAAATAAAAAAATTCAAGGTTAATATTCAGCCAATTGAAAATAAAGGGGCTAAAATGACACAAGAGACAAAATATAATAAATACCAACTTAAATTTGTCCAAAAAATTAGGATAAATTATGCAAATAGTTCATATACTTTACCCTATGTGTCAATTTGGTCATTGTAGTTTCAATTTACTCGATTTTGTCTCTTAATTTAACGGATTGTGTCATTTTAGTCTAATAAATAACGGTTGTTAAATTAATTTAACGGAATGTCAAATAATGTGTCAATTTGGTCCCTGTAGTTTCAACTTTCTCGATTTTGACAGGGACTAAATTGACCCATTGTGAAAAATATAGGGACTAAATTGACACATTGTTTAACTTTCTGTTAAATTAACTTAACTACCATTATTTATTGGACTAAAATGATACAATCCGTTAAATTAAGGGGCAAAATCGAGCAAATTGAAACTACAGTGACCAAATTGACATGTCGTGTAAAGTACAGGAAATATTTGCATAATTTTCCCAAAAAATTATATAAAAATTTTAATAAAAATGATGTGATAATGACATATTCAAAATAAATGTAAATCATTTTTCATCATGTATAGAGCAGACAATTAACTTTCTATTTTTCTACTCTTTGAGAATAATTGTTATCCTTCACAACCTAATAAGCTCCCTATTCACATTATTACACAAACTATACCATACAACCCTAAATCAAAGCATCACCCTATAAACCCCAAAGAGAGAATTAGCATAAGCATATTCCTTAATTAATTATGCTTAATTTAATTAAGAGGAATCTGATCCAATTGTGAGCAGTAAGGATCAGAAGACTAGATGCAAATGGCCATTTTCTTATTATACATAAATTCACAGGCAACTCAGCATACAATTAATATTCCAAGTGGAGAATAAAGTCATCAGTTGACATTACATTTATAGAAAGACTTATTAATGTGACCAATTTTTCATGAGAATTAAACCATCTTGATTAGGGAAGCTTTGATGATCTCTTACCTTATTACTCATGATGGAGTGTACTCACTAAAATTTTCATTTGTTAGTGGCCAACTTTTTATTTTTATTTTTATTTTGATTGGAGAAGAAGAATATTATTGAAGACCAATAAAAAGTGAAATAGAAGTGCAGTAAGCCTGAGATAGGCCAAATAAGCACCAGAAGAATGAAGGTGAGGTTATAGCATGTTAATGGCAAATTTGATTGCCACCAAACGCTAAAGACTTCTTGTCAGCTTTTTGATGAATCGAGTTCGAGTCATTTGAGTCTGAGCCTCCCATTGGGGAGTTTCGTGCATTGTGTCACCCACTCTTACAGAAATCACAATTCCACTAGGCCCTCTCCGGTTCATATCCATTGTACTCCTTGTACTATGTTTGTGCATCAATGTATGTCGATCCGTTTAAATCAATTGAACTGAATTGATCAGTCGTATTTTGGATAGATGCGTAATGAGGAGCAGACGGTTACAGATTGATTTTTTTCAATCAGTCTAGTTTTGAACGGATGACGGATTTAAGATTTCTTTAGTTACAACTGAACCGCCAATCGTGAGCACCCCTACTAATTTGTAAGACTTTATGTTTTCAATTTGTTTAGATATTTTGTTTGGTTTTTCAATTGAAAAAGAATTTAAATATTCTGTTGTGTTTTCAATTTATTTTCAATTTGAAAATCCTTTTTATCAAATAGCAAGTGTTGATATTTTGTATTTTTTATGGAAAATATAAGACTTAATTTTGTCATTTTTTTTAAAAAATCAAATTAAATAGTTTTTGAATAAAAAAAATAATAATAAAATAGTTTTGATAATGCATGGTTTTCTTATATGAATTTATTATTGATATTTGAAAATTTACTTGATAATCTTTTGATTATGTTGAGTTGGATTGTTACAAAAAAAATATTAACAAGTTATTATATTATGTTCAAAATTTGTAAAAATTTAAAAAGCCAAACCGATTCGCATCCATCCGTCAATCCCGATCCGCCAATCAGGTAGACAGATGTAGATTAATTTTTTTCAATCCATCAATTCGGCAAAGAGATGACGGATTGGAGGTTCCTGACCTCAACTGAACCGCGAATACCTGAACCGCAAACACCCTTAGTATGCAGTCATTTTTTTTTGCCGATAAAACAAAAATGAGTGTGTTGCACAAACTCATTGCTATTTGTTTGGTTGAAACCAAAAGCAGCAAAAAAATTGTGGCAAGAAGGATTAGTAAATCTTTCTATCACATAGAATGACAGAACTCTCTTTTTAATCTGTCATTTATGTTGCTGTGAAGAAGTCTACACTACACTGCTAATGAACTCAAAACATGGAGGTTATCCCACAAATAGTAGAGTTGAATATATAGTTTTTTTTCCTGCAAAGTTTTGGATTCAATGACGGAAATAGAAGCTATGAAGAAGTTGTTACATAAAAGCTCCTTGCATCATCTTCAACCTAGTTGGGATGAGTCAGGGTTAGCATGCAGCTTTTTGCACTTCCTTATCCTTATTGATGTAATTCTTTTGATTTCATTAATTAAGAGCCACCCTTTTTTTGTTGATCAAAAGAAAAACAAAAATGTTCAACCAATAAACAAACAAACATATTCATGAAACTCGTTAAATTGGTAGCCACTAACTCATTTTAAAGCTTAAAATATTGTAGCGAATGGTAGCTTTATTATTTATATTTTCAACGTCTTTTCACATTATCAGTCTTCTTTATAAGTGAGCTAAACATATGTAGGTATTTTAATTACCAGGTAGGTGGTCAGGTTCGAACACATAATTTATCTCGCCTTTTATCAACAAAACAACTTTGTAAACAGAACAACTTCCTCGTCACTATCAAAGAAAGAAAAAAAATAGAAATGTGTCACCTTGTTTGAAAAATGCCTCTTTGAAAACATTATGAATGCTCAAAGTTGTTACTTAAGGCAACACTTCTAGCTCCAGTCCTCTAATTTTACATAATAATTTTAATAACATAGTTTAAATCTGAATGTATCACTGTGAGTCCATGTTTCAAGATGAATGAATCAGTGGATTGCTATTGACATTGTTAGGCCAACAGATACTTGGGAAATGAAGCAAAAACTAGGTTGTCATTGTCAAAACTGGCTTGAAACAAAGATAAAACAATGTTATCTTTGGCATAGTGATTATATTACTTTTATTTTTGTCAAAGAACATGACTGATTGAGTACTACTACTACATATGAAAAGAAAATAAAATTAATTTTGTTTTCAATAGTTTATATTCACTGGAAAAAGAAGTAATTGAGTATGAAGAACATAAGACTGTTTGGGTTTCAGGAAAACTCGCCTTTTCCAAATAACTAGGTTGAGAGAGAGTGCGTTTTCTATTTATTTTTTTTTAATTAGAAAACTAGTTGGAGAACCTTCCACAACATTAATGCAACTCATGTTTGGTGAGGCACCAACAGTTTCGTATTCAAGTAGTAGAAAACTTCACTGGAAAAACTCTTACTTTTTAGTTAGATTATTTATTCTTGCTAGTCCTCTAGTGATATTATATCCTCCAAACACTGCAAATAATTAACACAAACAAACCAAGATTTCCAAATCCCACAGGATTTACTAACAAGTGATAATGATTCACAGAAGTAACACTATCACTATCTACTAAGAGAGCTAATTGAAATGTTTAAGTGTGAAACAATAGTGAGGAGTGAACCCAAAAGCTGAATTCTCAAACCATTTCCTTAACAAGGAGATAGTTCCATGAAGAACAACAAAGAAGACTATTTCCACAAATCAAAGATACAAAAAACCCAAGAAGATTAAAAAAAAAGAAAATTAAAAAGCAAATCCAACAACAACAAAAGATGAGAGAGAAAGAAGAGACAAGAAGATCCATGATCATGGTGATTAGTAGTAGTACCAGTAACAGTAATTTGCTGAGCTTTTATGATTCAAGAAACCCTATTGCACCCAATTGGATTGGCTTCAACAGACCCATAATTTCTTCCCACCAAGTTGAAGATCGCGACATAGAATTCATAAACCACTCATTAGTACTTATTTGTCAGAACGGTAGACGGCTAGCTGAATTTCCAACCCAACCGTCCACCGGCAACTGGCAATTAGGCATATTGAGTGGCAAATTGAAAAAAGGAAGCCCAGAAGAAGGATCAGGAAATGGATTACTACTAACACCGCCACCGCCACCACCAGATCTGCCACCATCCCCGCCACCGGAACCTTGCGAAACCGGCGGCTGCATCTGAAGCGCCGCCTCCTCCTCATCCAACGGCAGTCTCTCATAAGCAACATTAGTAAAAGAAGAAGCAATCACAATCACCGGGCCCGCCGCCACGAGCTCCCCCACCACGTTCCCTCCGACCACCTGACCTTGTCCTCCTGCCAAAAATATCGTCAAACTCGTCGCCCCCGGTGGGGCCGGTGGCGGCAAAAAAGACCCCGAAAGCGACAAAATCTCGAACCTCCCATGAAGTGTCACCACCGCCCCCGCCGCCGCCGGCTGCCTTAAACTGACATTGGTCACCGTGCCGCTGCCGCTCAGAATGCAGATCCCGCGCTGCCGGCGGCGCGCGTACGTGGCAACACAGTCAAATATATCGCATCCATTTCCAACTTCAAGAATATGAGCTCGGAGAGTGTTTGCACTCTCTCTAGTGATAATTACCGGAGGTTTAGGCTTGTTTTTGGACCCTGCTGGTCGGCCTCTAGGTCGGCGAGCCACGATATCGCCCGGGTTGGCGGTGGCGGAGACTAGTTCGAGACCCTGGTGGTGGCCACCGCCGCTCTCATCGTGGTGATCACCGGAAAACTGAGCACCACCCCTATTATTATTATTGTTGTCATCTTCATTTTGATCGGATTGTCTTTGGAGGTGCAAGTCGGAGCGGTGGTGGAGTTGATGAACGTAACGAGAAGCTGTGCTTAAATCTAAACCAGCCATGAACACAACCACATCAAAAGAAGGGAAAAAACAGAAACAGAAGCAAGAGAAAACAAGAAAATTATAAAAAATGAACGCAAGATTTTTAAAAACTGTTTTTGGATTTTGTTTATTTTAAGAAGTTGGGGCAAAAAAAATTTAAAAAAGGGAGCTCCGAAGTTGAACCCTAGGTTTGAATATGGATTAGAAAACAAAGGGATTTGAGTACAGAGAAAGGGATATGGAGGAGGAGGAGGAAGGGAAGAGGCGAGGGGGGACAAAGGATCAAAAAAACAGTCATTTCTCTCACATCCGAAAAGTTCATATATGAATAAAAAATTATGTAGTTGAAAATATTTTATTTATTTAATTTTGTTTGTGTGAAATCAAAAGCGGAGTTAGACAAAAGTATTTTCAAAGCGCGTGTAAGAATTAGAGTATTAAAGATGAGACTTATTTTTATTTTTTTTACCGGAAAAAAAAGTTTTATTAATGAAATTAAGATGCAAAATAAGACTTACATCAAGAAAGTAAGGTTGTGTAAAAAATATCATAACTAATTAAAATAATTCTGATTAGATTGACCTCGCAAATAAATTCCAATCATATGCCAACACAAGACTCAAAATTGATGAGACATCGACAGACAGAAAGCAAAGAAAAAAACAACCACATAGAAAAACCTACAACAGCTTTGATGGAGTTTATAAGAACTGTTTGTAGTTTGAAATGAAAATATTAGACGAATGACAAAAGTGTCTTCAAAGTGCGTGCAAGAATCAAAGTATTTTGGATTAAGTATTGAGTCTAATTTATCGTTGGTGGTGGCTTAGTGGAGAAGACATTATTTTCTATAGACGTGACTCCAGTTCAAATCTTGAGGGATAAAAAATGATTGTTTTGCAGTCGGTTCTCTTCCAAGATCTCGCATTGTATTCCGATCAAACTCTAGGCTCATTTGTGACGTATGGTTGAGCTCTACTGGTATCTCGGTGCATGGTAGGTCCATTCCTATGGGTTGTATCCAATCAGGCCATCAATTGGTTATCCTGAGACCTGAGCCCACGAATACCGTGATGACACCTCAGAACATCCTTCTTTTCAATAAAATAAAATAAAAAAAGTTTAATTCGGCTTTCATAATAATTGAATTGAAGTCCATGGAGCACTCCTTTGGCATAAAGAGTTGGATGGTTTTTTTTTTTTTTTGATTATTTTAGTTATAAAAAAATAAAATAGATTAAAAAATTAATAAAATAAAATGTTACATTCAAATTATAATTATTTTATTTTTTTTCTCCCAAAAAACTTATCTCAAATGAGGATTTTTAACCTTAAAATAATTAAAAGTCAAAAAGCTAATCTACATTCTAAACGAGCCTGAGAATTAGATTGAGGGATATATAATTCACATATATTATGTCTGTTATATTATTATTATTTGTTTTTTGTGTTTTAATTTATTCTCAACTATAAAATCATTTCAAACATGAAATTCTTAAAGTATGATCTTATAATTATAATTATCTGTACATTTAAATAGAAATTGAGAAATTTTAAAACGTGAAATCCTTATTCTCTATATACTTATGTATTAACTCACCCAACTAAAGTCATGTGGCAATTATTTGAAATAATTTTAAAACAAATATTAAAGTTAGTTTTTTCACGGCTACAAAATTATTACAAAAAAATGAAGAAAAAAATATTTGAGATTCTTATAAATTTTTTGAGAAAAGGTTGGGACCTCCCAGCTAGGGGAGACCCCAGCATCCCAGCGTCCCCATTGGATGCTGATTGACCAGAAATTATATTATTATTATTATTGTTATTATTTTCCCTTCAATCAGCAAGTCCCATGTGTGTGCGGGGGTGGCGGGGGTGGGAGAGGAGTGGCAGTCTCTATCAAAGTTGAAATTTTTTACAATTCATCCCACAATTATATAATTTAACAAGTGTCAATTTTTAATTGGTTACATATATAATTATATAGAACCCACTACTGTTGTCACATCATTATGAATACATTTATGAGTACAAAATATGTCTTTAACATTGTTAAAATGAAAAATAAAAAATAATTAAAAATGACAAAAATTGCATCTCGTCTCTTCCTCTTCCCCCACCCCAGCCACCCTCGCCCTTTCCAACCCCTCCCCCATCCTTCCTGCCCTTCTTAGCCCCTCCCCTACCTTTCTCGTCCTCTCACCCCCTCCCTAGCCTCCCCTGACTCATGCATATATTTGTCTTAGGATTGTATTCGATCAAATATAGAAAATTTTATATAGAATGATATACCCCTTTTTTATGTAGTAAATGAAACATGATGATTAATAGGAGTAAATGAAACCTACATGGGTATTTGTGGATGGGGTTAGAAGATGGTTTTTTTTTTTTTTTTTTTTTTCGGGGTGGGGTTTTCTTAACTTTTGTGGGTAAGGCTTAACCATGCATGATTAAAGAGGGGGGGAAGTTGACCAAAGTTTGGTAGAACTGAAACGTGAGGAAGGGGAAGGGAAGGGGAAGACAACTTTTATATTTATATTATAAGGAAAAAATAATGAGGGGTGGAGGAAGGTATGGGCAAGTGGGTGTTGCAGCTGCGGCGGATGGGCCCTCTCTTGTCTTGTCCCCTCTCTCTCCCCCTCTCTCTCTCTCTCTCTCTCATCCCGGATGGCGTTCTTCTTTCCTTGGTGCCATCCTTGCTTGACTGGCTTTGGCTAGCTACTCACTCTCATACATCATCTTTTGGTGTGTTTGGCGGTACTTAGAATCCTATCTTATCCCCCGTGGTATCGTTTGGAATAAATTATTTTAATAATTTTTAATTAAAATATGTGATAAAAAAATTAAGATTGTGTTTGATTTAGTTTTAGAGTTGTGATTCTCTTTTTGGAATTGTAATTTGAATGTAGAATTGTGAGTTAAATTTTGAAAAGAGAAAATTTATTTTATTATGAATTTTAAAAAGAGTTTTGAGAGGAAATTTTGAATTTTGAATTTTAAATTTTAAAAAGAACGGATTGGGTCTACCCGACCATCTGCCTGGACATTCTCCCTGACATCCTACTAGACGTTTGGCTGATTGACCAGAACAGTGCAAATTTATTTATTTTTTTATTTTTGACAATTGCAACCTGTTATGTGAAATATATATATATATATATATATTTGTTTTAGATATTATTTTTTTTGATTTTTTATAAAAATAATTTAACAAACTCATCACTAACCATCTTCAACACTATATCATCAAAGCAGTTTTGAAAAAAGTTTTGATATTGTTTTGAGTTATGTGTTTGGTTATGAGTTTTGAAATTAATATTTGAATTGAGTTTTGAATAATTTTGAATTGTGTGTTTGCTTATGAATTTTGAAAAGTGATCTGAAAATTTTGCCTTTAGAATTATGATTCAAAAAGTAAACCAAACATAGCCTAATATGTTTGAGATTTTTTTTTAACTTTTTAAAAAATAAAAATAAAAAAGTGTAAAAAGTAGAAAGAGAAGAGAAATTTTGATTTTTTTATATAATTTGTTGGCTCTTTCTTTTGTAATTTTTTAACTCCTACACTAAAATCAACACTTTTCAAACGAGGTCATGATAACACTGTACATTAATCACTTGTTCAAAAATTTAATTTTAGAATAAAAGTATTTTTGGCTGGTAATGTGCTCCCTTCAATGTCTCAAGTTCAAAATCTCCTAGTTACAAATAATTTTTTTTGGAGTCAGTCTATATAGAATTTTAAATAGACTTTCCGCTAGTGAACAGTAAAATTAGTCTCTAAAATTAGTCGGTATTGTATTCTGGGTTATCACAAAATGTATATATATTGCCATATGTTTGTTTTTATTTATTTTTTTATTTTTTTTTATGTATGTATGGTTTGGGGCTATTTCTCTTTGTTGTAACTTTTCTAATAATAACGGAACCATGGCCACTGTAGACTTTATGTTAGTTTTTTTTTTTTTTTTTGGTATGGCGGTCTCTGTATCTCATCTCTCTTAAACGTAGTCATTAATTTCGAAGTTAACTACATAAATTTCATATTTTTATGTATATGTCTAATTTATAATTCTTGTACATTTTTTTTTCCTTTATTTTTTATTTAGATTCCGAGGAAAAATATATTCCATCTCTCACTTGTATTTTGTATTCCATAATGCTTATGCATCACGAAATATTTTTCATTATTATGTACATTTATTTTATCTAATAGTAAAAGAAATTTGTTTGATAATTTATAAAGTTTCCATCTAGATGGGAGCCGCTTTAATACTCTTTAAATATAGCTGTTTAATTTAACATTTAAGGTGTCGTTTGGTAACACTTACGTTTTCAGTTTTCTGTTTATATTTACAAAAATTTTAAAAACTCAAATAAAAACCTGTTTGGTAAAATTTTTGATTTATAAATCAGTGGTCTCAGTTTATAAATTAGGCCAAAAAATGAAAACACAAAAAATGTGTTTCCATTTTGAGTTTTCAGTTTTTTTTTTTATCACCCAACATTAGCCACCACCCGCCACCATTTTCCACCACCGTCTTCCGCCACCACCACCCACCACCCATCCTCCACCACCACCTGCCACCACCACTCACCACCCACCTGCTACCACCACCCACCACCCGCCACCGCCACCCACCCGCCTACCCGTCACCACCCACTACCCGCCACCCACCTGCCACCACCACCCCACTCGCTACCACCTAATTAATAAATTATAATTAAACTATAATTATGATATAATTACACAATAGTTTTTTGAAATATAAATTTCATAATGTTTTGACTTATACAGTTAATTAAAGGGATGAAAATAATGTTGTTATCTTTTTTTCCTTTTTTTTTTTTTAAACTAAAATGTTTGTTTACTCTTCGTTAACCATGTCCAAACATCACCTAAATCTAAATATTCTTACTTTATGTTTAAACAATACGTTGAGAGAATGAAGGTAATTATGTAAATTAATTAGGTAAAATGGTGTAATTGTATCATTTAATACCCGTACATATTTAAATACAAAATGTTTAAGCATAATCCAATAATTTCATCACTTTCATTAACACAGCTAAAGTTTTCAATATTGTAAGAGATATTAATATAAGTTTGTAAAATTGTATAATTAAATATAATATTAGTATAATAGATCTTATTACTATTGTATATCTCTAATAGAGGAGGATAAGAAGGGCCGCTGTGGGGATAGCATAAGGTTTAACTTGGATCAAATGATCAAGTTGCTCCCCAGGCTACAAATTCTTCCCCTACCCCACCATCTAACCCATCAAAATCTTAAA